AAGAAAAGAGCACAGTCCGGTACCGGAAACCGCGTGGCTCGCGTGTCGTTTGCAAATTGCGGCTGGGTACACGCCTTTGTTTCACCCCCCGGGACCTCTCCGATGACTCAGACGAGGAAACGACCATCCTCGAGAAGACGAGAGAGAGAGAGAGAGAGAGAGAGAGAGAGAGAGAGAGAGAGAGAAAGGGGAATCGAAGAACACGTGGACGAACGGTTTTTTCTATGCTTCTCGTCCGCGGATTTACCTCTTCCTCCTCCCCAGGATGGATGGATGGAGATACAGCGCAGGAAAGTCTCCTCTACCCTAAGGTCAAGTACCTTCCACTTCCGGCGTTGCGATTCACACATCGTCGCACGTGTCTTCTATTTAACACACGGATGACCTCTCTCTGTCTTTCTCTCAGGGAAGAGGATTCTCACTCTCTCCCCCTCCCTTTTTTTCGCCTCGTAATTACGTCGTTCGCGATTCCCTTCGAGAATTTCCACGGAACTTTTCCATTTATGGCCGATAATCTGTGGTTCGTAAAGAAGGTAAGGAAGAAGACGGAAGAAAGGTGTGTTGCGTATCATTGTAACGTTCCTTGAAATGTTGAATTTGAATGTTCAAGTGAGCGAGTGTTGTTGCATCGGTTAGAGAGTAAAGTATTCGATTTGTTTTTTTTTTTGTCCATTTTATTTTTCGAATCGTTATGACATAGGTTATAATAAGTTTCGTTGGGTTGAAATACCTTTTCTTTCTTATGCGTGTAAAAGAAACGGAGGTTAAGAAAAAAATTCTCACCGAAATTATAATTGTTAATGAATTGATAAAAAAGTTAATAATAAACACGATAATTAGTTTCAAATTTATTAATCCAAAGGATAAAACAATCGTGGTCTATGTGAAACGGGAAATTGTTTTTCTTTTTTTTTTTTTCATTTTTTAAATTTCAGATACTGGAAAACAAAGGATAAATAAAATTGAAGATACGTAACTGCTCTTTTAGCGTGTCTATTCTATCCCAACCAATTATGCTCGTCAACCAATTTTAATATCTATTTTCACTCGCACGTTCTTTAAATATATTCCACGAAACACATTAATTTATTCTATTGTATAAAATAATCTACTCTATCCATTAACCTGACGAATAAACCTCTAAATTTCCCAACCTTTTAGATATTAAACGTAAACTCCTCGAAAACAAAAGTTGAACACCCTACACGCAATAACTATGATGATTTTCATAGTTTTTTGCGATCAGCTCTACGCACTTTTCTTCGCCTCGAAAGAACGTCGAGATCGAAAAAAAAAAAGAAAAAAAAAAACTTAACCGGGTAAAGGTTTCTCGGAGGAGGGGAAGAAAAGGAGGAGGAGGAGGAGGAGGATCGGCTCGAATCGTGAGCGCAAGCGGCTTTAATAAGAATCCCTTCACCAGGAATCTCGGTTCCTGGAAGAAGAATCGATGTATACCGAGCGTGCAGAATCCTCCGTTTTTCCCAGTCCCAGCTTTATCCCAGATCCGCCATGCGGGGTATAGGGGAAAAGAAACGTTCGAAAAACCGCGAAAGGAATCGCGTTTGGAAGCGTGAAACGGAATGGTTCTCGCTTGGTCGACGACCTCCTCGTCTCTTTTATTTTTTTTTTTTTCTTTTCTTTCTTTTTCCTGTTCCTCGATTCCTGTTCGACTCCTTGCCACGAGGATATCGACTCGACTCGACTCGACTCGACTCGACTCGACCCGAGAAACGTTTGCAACAACGACGTTGTTGCATTTTCGCGTGCGGTTAATTGGCTCCCGCTCGCCGGCGGGAAACGTTCGTATATCGCGTCCCGGAGAGAAGAGAGGAGGAGGAGGACGGGTGGGAAAGGATGGTTGTCAACCTTAAATGGCCCCTCCGACTAAGAGCTAATCACGCTCCTCTCGTTAATCCGTTAATTAGTCAACGCACCGTGGTGGTTTCGACGGTTCCATCGATTATCATCGTTGTTACACATCGCTTACGTAAAGAGGGAAAAAAGTGTCACGGAAAGATCTTTCGAGCGCAATTCTTCCTTGACTTACTTACTCGGTTATTTACCACGGTAAAAAAAAGAAATAAAGAACAGAACGCTGAATCTTCGTTGTTTACGTAACCTTTGTATAGGTTTTTTTTTTATTCTAACAGGCTACGTTTTAAGTTTGGATCGACAATCGCATAGCGCGATGATCTGTGCAAACGAAGGAAAAAGAAAAGCGATTATTCGATTGAAAAAAAGATCTATCCTCCTTTTTCTATCCTCTTTATTCCTCCTTTATTCGCTCCTTGTCGCTCCACTCGAGGGAAGAGCGATGTTAGAAATTATTACACAACGGCGAATTTTTATCGGTTCTCGAGGTGGAGAGAAAAAGATGGGGCGAGAGAGTCAAGTTCACGACTCTCTCATCGTTGTCTGCTCCATAGGCAGATAGGGATAATGGTAAATTGAAAATGATCGTTGTCACTTTTTTATCGGCACCGAACCGCTAATTCCTTTTAAACGAACGTTGAACATTCGTGGATTATTTTTAACGTTTCTCTCGCTCGTCTGTTTCGTAATTAAATAGCCTCGACGAGTGGTTTGTGAAATTATGAATTCAAGATGAAGTTTTTCTCATTTAATTCTTTATTTTCTTTTTTCTTTTTCAACGGGATAATCGTAAAACTTGGCATCGTCGTCGTTTCGTCGATTAAATGAGAGAGAGAGAGAGAGAGAGAGAGAGAGAAGAGTGTTTATTCGTTCACATTCGATTTTCTTGCAAAGAAAAAAAAAGAGAGAGAAACGGCGAATTCCATTTCCTCGTTCCTATGCAATCTGTATCGAACGATCGTAAAGAATTATCTAATCGATTCGCAATGGATTTGTTTAACGAGTAATGCGTGAAAGAAATAAAGAATTCTTGCGAGAAAGAGGAAACCTTCGAGAGAATTTAGTCTAGTTTTTATCGAGTAACGGTAACGATTTATATTCATATGATCTAAAATATAAAATATCGTTGTGCAAATTATCCGATAATAAAAATTAATCTAACGCTAATTCAACAAACAGTAGAAAACACGAAAATGAATTTTTCACAATTGATATTTGTATTGGATTGTTCGATTTAGTAGCAATTTCTCGAATCATTATTTGTTTGCTTCGATCGGTGCCTTTACTTTATCTTCATTCAACTAGTGTCATCTTTAATGTCGAAATTGTTGGAAGGAAATTTTGAAAACCAGTTTAGACACTACCTCTGTTAATACACTTTCTGCATCATTCACATAACTTTTTTTCTTGCCTGGACAGCATTTTTACTTTTTTTATAATAAAAAAGTAAAATATGCTTCTTCTGGTCTTGTATCTTTGTTATCGCGCACAAAAAACACAACCGCACAGCCAAATCGAACAAATTTTTCTTATAAATAAACCACGAAATACCAAAACTCTCAAAATATACGATACAACACGGTTTAGAATGAAGTTGGCTGCATAAAACATTCGACTAAAGCGACACTCGTGTGAGAAAACGAAATTACTTTCCAAACAGCCAAATTATTTGAAATTAGTTACACATCCACTTATTTATGTGATAGAATAATGGATAAGGTTCTGATGTTAAAAATATATGTAAATTATATTATTTTCAATCCGAATACGAGTGGAAAATTCATAAACGAAGGAAGAGATTTTTATTAAAAGATTTTTATATCTTCGAATATGCATTGTCATTACCTCTATCCATGTGTATAGATCTTTTTAAAATTTCTCATTGTCATTGTCATATATGAAAACTTCCTAACCGATTGAACGCGAACCACTTCATTTTATGTACTTTAAGAAACTAAAACTTTTTTCACTTTGATATTCAATGTAATTTAAAAAGTGATAAAAAAATAAATGAAAAAAGTAATTGAAAGTTTATCGTTTGAAAAAAATTAATATATTAAACGCAGAATAATTTTATATAAAAATTTCGATCGATCATCTCGAGATTGATAACACATAATTAGTATCGATAATAATAAAAATTATTGTAATTACCTCAGTAGCAGCTAATTTTTTTTTTATTTTAAAATTAAGGCTTTACTTTAATAATGACACAAGAAAGAGCACTGAACACCGTTAAACTCCTTTTTAAAATTAAAATTAAAAAAATATCAATGATATCAAAATGAAATTTGGCACGATACAAACACATACTTAGTACAGTTAATTCGATCAAAAATTAATGGGATTAAAAAAAAATAACAAGATTGTAAATAATAACTTTATTTTCCAATTTGAAGATTGACCACTTTAAAGCCATATAACTATGTTAATAATTAAAAAAAATATGAAAAAAAAATCATACTGTACTGTGGGCCAAATGTTCAATCAATTATCCGTATAAAAATTTTTTCATTACTTATGAAAAGGAAGTTCTTTCCGTTTTTCGGAAACAAATATCCTGCTGCGTGCAACGGCTCGAGCAAAAGTAGACCGAATTATCAATGGCCGAAAATTATAGTGTTCGATGGTATTAACAAAGTATCGCGACGCCTCGACCCGAGGATAAAAGTGCGAACCGTTTGTAATTGATCGGACACCGTTACATCATTCGCTTACTCGTCGAATCGACGCTCCTCTCGATTCGATTTACAGTTAAACCACTGTACTACTAATAGATAAGCTGAATGGAGGAGAGTATCGTGGGAGAACGGATAACAAGGAGAACGTTATAAATTGAAAATCAATTGTTACGATCTTGTTCGTAAAATTTTAAAGGCGGTCTTTTATGAGTCTTCCTTTCGCGCCGAGACTTGTAAAAAAAAAGTAGAATTATCCAAATTGTCGAATTTGAAATTAGAAAGAGTGGGAAAAAAATGTGATATCTGGGATAAAATTTAATAATCGAAGTTGCTAGGTAATTGTATATAATAATGCTAGTGGAAGTAATTTTGTTCAAAATTTTTAACCAATTAAAAACTTGTTTCTTTTGGGCGAATGCTTAACTCTGTGTTATATTCTCTTTACAGCGACCGTTGGGATAGCGAGCACTGTGCAGATCGAGTGTGCGAGTGAGTCGATAATCGTGCACATCTCGACCGAGGGAAAAACGGATTTCCATGGTCTGGTGTATCCTAGGGGGTTGTCGAAGAACAGCTCTTGCCTGCAAGAGTACAGAAGCCAACCCACTCCTATAACTTACAACCTGCCCCTCAGATCTTGCAACACCATGCCCACGCAATTGGTAAGTGACGAAAATTAATAAAACACGATAATCTTTCATTTTTTTGTCAATTTATGTCGGACGATTTATCGTTCTCAGCGACGAGAATGAAAATATGTATCCTCTAACTTTTCTGACCCTGTTAACAGGCTTACAGTTTATCCGAGTTATTAGATTCTCACTTGAGTTGCACAATTTCTGAACACTCGTCATTCGCGATAATTGCGCGTTATCGAGGTTAATAACGGTCGAATCGTTGTACCTTCGGCTAAATAACACTTTGATGATCGTTTATCAAGGGAAATGATTCGTTCGTTCGTGTAATCGATTTTTTTACATCGTTAGATAGAAAACGAGCACCAGCGAATCCTCATTATGGTGGTTCGAATATCGAATTAAGTTCGATATTTTCAGTCGATAGAAACTTTGACGATCTATCAAGAAAAAATGGTTCGTTTATTCTGTGCAATCGATTCTTTTTATACCAATCTTACGATAAAGTATCGAATCGAGTTCGATTTCCAATCGATAGAAATTTTGGCAATCATCTATCAAAGAAAATAATTCGTCACTTGTGTAATCGATTCTTTTTTACACCGATCTTACGACAAATAATCGAGTTTGATTTCCAATCGACAGAAACTTCGAAACGATCGTCGAATCACCAAATTCCCGTGCAATCCGATTTTCCTTCCTTCCCAATACAAATAAACATTGAATAAATTACACGTGAACAGAGATATCGAAAAATAAGCACGACATCTCGACGAATAATAATCCCCTTCTGTGTCGAATTCCGTTTACCCATGCGCCTCGAGTACGGAATTAACTTCCCCTCGAAAACGGAAAAAACACCGTGACGCTGACTAATCGTTAAAGGTGCTCGACGACGCGTAAAACGAAATTACGTAAGAAATCACTCCGTGAAAGAAGCGGAATAACGTTTCGAGCACGAAGGAAGAGGCTCGATCGACGATGCGACGTTATACGCGACTCTCAGGAGGGAGGAAGGAAGAGGGAGAGGAAGGGGGAAAAAAAGGTGCGGAGGCGTGAACGCACGCGCAGTAACACGCGCTAGAGGAAGAAGCGTGTATTCGAAGAAGGATGGAGGGAAGGTGAAGCGATGCGCGCGAGAAGAAGAAAAAGGGAAGAGGGAAGAAAATACTAGGGACGGAGGAGGGCTGGTTCGTGTAACGAGGGAATCGTGTGTCGAGGCGAGAGATCGCTTCCTCGCCATACCATAACTGGACCGTTATGTGACCGGACTTACGGCCTTCTTCTTACAAGAGAGCGTTACAAGAGAGATATGTAGTGTGCCAGAGACTAACGCTTGCTACGCCTTGTGTCCTATAGCGATATATATATATATATATATATATATATATATATATGTATATACGTTTGCGCGCATGCAAACGCGCATGCAAACGCGCATGCTCGTGTCCTTAACGGAACAGTGGTTCCTTCCACCATTTTTCTCTCGATAATGAACTGGCTGATCACGATTTTCTAATCCAAGGATTCCAGGATTGAGATACCCCTGTAGGACTTGTCTTCAAGACGAGAAGCAAATCTATTTTTGACAGGGATTCGGCAGGAATATTCCTTAAGAGGTACGAGCAAAATTTTTAAAAGTTAATATCTCGAAGCGTGGAATAACCAACGTAACGGTGAGGTTATCTTGAGTAAAGTTTAAGAAATTATTTCGCTTCTTTCGGTTAGTTTGTTTCTAACTCTGTTTTCAAGCGTGTTCGATTAATATATCTCAAATGTTAAACTGTTCCAAAGCGAAGGGAAAGACATTCTCCACTGTTCGATGAATATATCTTATATCGTAGATTCGTATCATTTAGAATAATAATAAAACCTAGCCGATATAATACGAACGATTTTCCTTCCCATTTTTTCGATACGAATTTACCATTGTTCCGATAATTGAGAATATCCATGAGAACAGATTCGAGACGACTGAATATTTACAACAAACAATCTTAAATCTATATACGTATCTGATCGTAGATCGATAGATAACTGTTATAAAAAGATCCTCGAGGGAAGCGGGTTGGCATCGATCGATGATGAAAGCCCTCGGCTTGTGGAGGATTATAATCACGATCGATCCATCGTGTCTTCGAGAAAAAAAAAAACCCTCTTCGGACACCCGTTGATTAAACTTCTACGAGACTCGTACAAGACTCGAGAAGGCTAAGAGAAGAAGCGAGGCCGACTTCTCTTCGGTTGAGCGCCTCGAGAGGCAAAGTCGCGCGTCTTATTTGGTAAACACATCGCGAAAGAGAAGTTTCCGTGAAATACGTATGGCATTCCGACGACTACTCGCGATTAAAGAAGGGAAAAAGCGCTCGAGTGGGCCGACTAATAGCGACACTCGTTGCGATCGTCGAGGGTCTGCATAATAATTTAAGGGTTGGTATGTCGAGGGGAGAACAATTTGTCCTCTTCGTAAGGAAGGACATCGAAGGTGAGCGGAGTCTTTGACCTCGGCTTGATTCCTTGAGGTGTGTGGGCGTTGAAGGAACCGTGGGCCCAGTTTCTCTTTCTCGGATATCCCGTCGCGATCGTTGTTGCCTGTTCGTAAACTGTTCGAACGATTTTACGGGATATGTCGTGGAAATATTTCTTCCATGCAATTCTTATTCCGGTTGAACTCGATTTGAAGGGAAGGTTAAAATTAATAAGCTTTTAAGAATTATCTAAATTGATATTGTTGCTCGTGCAATATTAACACCGGTTCGCATGGACTTCGAAGCTATAATAAGACTTCGAAGTCTATAATAGATTTTGTCTCGTGTACTTAGGAATAAAGTAGGGTTTTACGCGTGCAAAGTGTTTGCGATGTAACGGGACAGGATATTAAAATGGCGATACGAAATGGCAACCTAATATGGACAACCCGGGGGCCTGAGTTTTCGTCGCTTACGCAATCGATTCCGAGTGGCGTGTTAATATTTCCTCGCGTATTTAAGCGTATCATCAATTGTGCAATGCACCTTCGAGAAAAAGATATAATTAATTTTTTCTCATCGATATTTTATATCCGATCAGTGTGGTAATTATTGTCTTCTTCTTTTAAAATATTCGTTATCAGTGAAGATAATTCGCTAATTTCTTTTCATTAATTCCATTAATATTTTCGAAATCTAATTAGAAATATTGTATTCTTTTAGAATATTCTCTCGTTATCAGTAGTTGAGATTAATCGCGAAAAGGTAGCAAAGAAGATAATTTTCATCAGTTCCATTAGGAAATCTGATCAGAGTTATCGAAACATCGTTTTTTATCGACTCTTTTAAAATATTCGTTATCATTAGTTAGAACTCAATTGCAAAAGATAGCAAAAGTGATAATTTCTTTTCACCAGTTCCATTAATATTTTCGATATCTGATATCAGAGTTATAGAAACATTTTTATCTTCTTTTAGAATATTCGTTATCAGTAGCTGAGATTTAATCGCGAAAAGAAGTAGCAAAGAAGGTAATTTTCATCAGTTCCAGGAAATCTGATCAGAATATTATAGAAATCGAAATTTTTTATCTTTTTTTAAAATATTTATTATCAATAATTGGAATTCAATTGTGAAAAGATAGGAAAAAAGATAATCCCCTAATTTCTTTTCATCAATTCCATTAAAAAAAATCCGATATCACAGTTATAGAAATATCCTCTTTTCATCCCCCTTTTTAGAATATTCGTTACCACTAGCTGGAATTCAATTGCAAAAGATAAGAAAAAAGATAATCCCCTAATTTCTTTTCATCAATTCCATTAGAAAATCCGATATCAGAGTTATAGAAACATAGTCTTTTCATCTCCTTTTTTTTAGAATATTCGTTACCACTAGCTGGAACTCAATTGCAAAAGATAGCAGAAAAGGGTATTTAATACGCGAGGGTACTAATTTCGAAGAGATAAGTAATTTCTTTTCATCGCTTCCATTCCAGCATCTTACAATTCTCTTCGATCGAAATTTTGCAAACGAATACGAAATCCTAGAATGGATACACATGGTCTTTTTATCTTGTTTTGGGATTTATTCGTTATCTTTGGGATTCAATTGCGAAAAGATAGGAGAGAGGATGATTCGCGTGGTTAATTTCGAATGGAAACGGTTGAATAACAGCGAGCAGAATCTTTTCACGAGGCGATATGACCGCGAGCGTTTCGCAAACCGATCCTGGCTAAAACCGGCATCGGATGTTCGCACAAGCATGCAAATAACACCGCTGCCAGCTTGCGTTACTCATTAATGGCATCGTATCTCTATTCGCTTCCCTATTCCATTTATACGTCTCGCCCAACCACGTACAATATCCTATCGTATCCTTCAACGCTGAAACTCGAGTTAATTTTTATTATCGAATCCCCTGTGCGCGTGTATTATTATCATTTTTATGCGAATCTTCATAAATATAAAAACGCGGTTTAAAAAAAAGTACATTTTTGACAAAAAATGTCGCGATCAATCGATATTTTTTTCTAATAATTTTTGGCAAGATTAATTTCCTCCCAAATTTACAATAATATATCTTCTTTTATATTTTCAATGCGATTTCGTATTTTTTTTTTAAAATCCGTAATTTTTGGAATTCTTTTCTCGTAATGAATGCTAATTTAACGCTATTAAAAAAGTTATCAAAAAAACTTCCATTATCGTCGTAATTGTGCCCACCTCATCGTAATACATAGAAAGCATATACGCTTCTAAAAACAGTTTCTTAAAACACGTTTCTTACGTGTTAAAAATCATCGAAGAAAAATATAGAAAAATCTTCGTTACATTTTTGGATCGAAAAAATTTTAAACGATTTAAAATTTCATAATTTGCAACTTGTAAATGAATAATTCGTGAAAGAGAGAAATATTAGATGGAATAGAAGGCGAAGGATTCGCATAGTTCGAAAGTTCCTCCTCTTTCCCCCCGCGCATAATTCGATTTAGAGTGGAGAATAATATTTCAGACGTAGGAGACCGCAGCCCATAAGCCATAAGCTTGTTTTTTACG